TTTAAAGTAGAATTTTTACATAAGAAATTCTCCCGATCGGTTTTCCATCGAGAGATTCCAGCGAACGGAACTCTTCGATCGATGAAGCAATTCGTTCTCTATCGACGCAAAAATAGCGCGACCCGTACACGTGCATTTATTTGGAGATTGTAAACAGACAGAGAATCGGGAAACGCGCCAGCCAAGTTTCCAAGTCTTTATTCGCGGAATCAATGAGGAATCGCCTGTGGCGACTTGAAAATTTTCGCGATTTCGCGTTGAAAAATACCGTGTACACGAGTGCAGCCCTAATACGTATGCACACACACACACGCAAAGCCGCCGCTTCTAGTGTGTCCGCGCGCACGTGGGTACGCGTGCGTCTGTGTGCTAGTGTGTATATAAAGATATACGCACGAATACCCCCGTTGCTGCATAGGACACGTGGGTGGCGGTGAAGATTTTATTTAAGTTTCATTGCTGACGATCTTCGAACACGAACACACCGAGCGCATATACACACTTTAGTTTAGAAATCTTTAGTTTTAGATCCAGCTCCACGTGTTTCTTGTTGTTGGAGCAATTTCGTCATCGCCTCGTTGCGGCTCGAATCACGAAACCGGGAAAGATGATTTTGTAACGATGTTACATTATAGTGAACAAATCGAAATTTGTTAGTTAAAATCGATCGGAAAGAGGAGTGATATTTAATCTCTGATCGAGTAACGGCGACGAGGTTGAGAAACGAAAGTTTTACTCTTTCTTTTTTTGTTTTTTTTTTTGAACTTTTTTTTATTTGTTGAATTTTGCCAGATCCTCCTAATAATTCTCACATGCGCAGCGATTTTGTTATCAATTTACATTTACTCTTAATTCGACATAGACGAATTAACAATGACAACGTGACCGAATGAGTTTCGATGAACCCTAACCTATTTTCTCGCAACGACGTTCGACCGTAATGGCTCATCGATTAAGATAGTTTCTGTTCGTTTTTCAGCCCGCAAGAAGCCGCTGTCGCCGTTTGCCAAGTTTCGTGAACTCGACAGACAAAATAGCGCCGCTTCATCACCCAGGTAATTGAAAACCATTTTACAAGCTTTGTTTATTTATACGATAGGTATTTTTGCTTTTACTATTGGTGAAAGAATCGATATTATTAGACAACGTCGAAAGCTCTTTCTATCGTTACCAAAAAGAAGCTCTGCCTATTTTAACAGCACTGTAAAAATACATCAATACTCTCTGTTCCTTGATGATCAGAATTCAGTATTACTTAGGTTACATTTACATTTATCTAGATTAAGTTACGTTTGACCCATCCAGGGGTAATCTTCAACTTTAATCCAGTGAATTCATCATAATGACACCTTTTACATTTATACGCTCCTTCTATTTCTTCGAAAGCTTAACTGACGGCTTTTCTTTCTATATTTAGTCCCGTAAAGTCACCGGCAACAGAGTTTCGATTCAAGTTTACCGAGCCAACGGTGCGGGACAACGCGGTGCAAATAAAAGAGCGACTACTGGCGTGGTGCCGTTCCAAGACCAAAGAGTACGAGGTAAATCCGCCTTGTAAATGGAGCTTCTCGAGCTCACACGCTCGCGTGTATGTTATTTACAGAAACGCGGGCGCGCACGCTCGTGCACGCTCAGATAATTGCGCGTTAGTAACCAGCACAAAATTGTGCGTTCGTGAAATTTGTCAAGCGTGCTACGGACACGTTTTCTGTTACAGAATGTACAGCTGGATAATTTCTCGACAAGCTGGAATAACGGATTGGCGTTCTGCGCTCTGCTTCATCACTTCAGACCGGACGCTTTCGACTACAACTCACTACGACCGGAGAACCGCAAGATGAACTTCGACTTGGCGTTTAAAAAAGCCGAGTAAGTCAACTCTTATTTCATTTTCAAGCATTTTGTAAAAGAAAGAAGATTCTGGGTCTGTTCAGACTATAAGTATATAGTTGCATAATAGTACTCCTAAATTAAATAAATTCTCCATAGTGAACTCGCCGGGATCGCGCCTTTACTTGATGTCGAGGACATGGTGATGATGCGTCGGCCAGACTGGAAGTGCGTCTTCACCTATGTGCAGTCCATCTATCGCCGCTTCAAGGACGAGGATTAAGGACTGTTTTTGACGCTTCTCAACGGCGTTCCGCGTGCAAACCCGACTTTCTCCGCCTCTCGTGACTCGGTGATCGCGAGACGGTCTGCTATCCGTTCAAAACAGATCATCAAGGAAACGGCGCATCCTCCAAATACGAGATGGAAAAGATGAAATACTCTCGAGACGAAATTCTCGGGCAAGAATAGTGAAGAAATAGAAAAAGAGTTCGCTTTTGCGCATCTCGCATTCAGCAACACGTCCAGCAACATATTTTTTTTTTTTACGCACGACTTTCCTGGCAGCCTTCCGATGAACATATTAACCATTTCACCGAAAGATGATGCAGTAGATAAACGGCTTCCTCGAACACGTAGTGCTATGACTGGTGTGTGAACGAAACACCGTCAGTCGTTGCCAAGAACTGATGTTATTGCGTTGATGTTTTCGATGGAATTCAAGGTCTTCTATGCCAAAGATTTGTGAAATAAACACGTGATGCTAGCAATTTGTCCCTTTAATATTATTTCTCAAAGATAATGAGTTAATACGGATTATGGGTAAAGGAATTTTTTTTTAATAGAATGATGCTGAAATATTGAAAGAATTACAATGTATACTAGAAAATCGATTTATTTAATTGTAATCAAAGTTATATAATATTTATATTATACAAAATAGTATTCTATGAGGTAAACACATTTGTAGTCGCAGCCATAGTCTTAGTTGAATAATTAGTAAAATATGAATTGACGAATACAAGTAATTACGATTAAATTGAACTAAAACTATATTGAGAATCCTCTATTTCAAGCTCTACTCAGACTTTTTTTTATCATACAACTCGTCATTTTTTCCACCTTTTTTTCAATGACGAGTGCATCGTATATATTATCTCCAATATGGAGATGCATATCCCTGTGTTTGTATCGCAAGGCACTATTGGGCACCCGATAGCAAATTGTTAAATTAAAGGGTATCTTCCAGGGAATTATTTATATCGTTTCTATCTTCCCCGATCATTTCCTGCAACACAATATAACATTTAATTGTAGGGAGATACTTTAAGAGTTGATTGCCTTTTACAGATGATTGTCTTTAATAATACCTGTAGAACTTCAACTAGTGCTCTCGATTCATCTAACATTTCTTTATAAATACGATTTTCTTCTTCTAATTTTTCAACGCGTTCGCTCAGCTCTTTGTTGTCTTCTAACGAGTCTTCAAGTGCTATCCGTCGTCTTTCAGCCAGTACTTCCCAATAATTTTCACTAGGTCCAGCTATTATAAATGTGTAACAGATAATCTCAAAATTAATATTTATGTAATAGCTTGCCATGTCTTTCTGCTTTTTTATTTTAAACAAGGAAGGTACCTTCAGATGTTAAATCTTCAACTTCAATCTTAATCTTTCCTCCTCTTGCAGTCTGAACAGCCTTATCCTTGGAGACTATTTTCTTGCGTTTTGGAGCATCATTTTTTGTTTTTTCAGTAACATCACTGAAACATAAAGTTTTGTTTGCACAATGTATACAAAAAACATAAGCAACAACCAATCACTAAATTTGCTTACCTTTTAATTGTGTCCTTTGTTGGCAGAGCAGACCTAAGCATCCTTCCACCACCAACTAAGTTTTCTTTGTCGCTGGCTGCTGGCTGCAAAGCGTGCAAAGACTTTCTGACCTTATCCTGTTTTGGTAAAAGATAAATATGTATGATGCACCATGAAGCTTTTACATGCTATTTTATTGCTTGAATCAAGAATTAAACCAAAGATAAATGAATTAAGTTTTAAAATATGACTGTAATATATGAAATGGAGTAACCTGATTAATTACATGCAACTGAAAGTGTTATATAGAATAATGTAAAATAATAATTGTTTAACCATCCACATGCTTAAAAAACGTAATGAATGAGGCAATAATTTTACAAATTAAATTATTTACCTCATATAAATATATCGAATTCCGTAAACTATAGATTTTTCAATATAATTAACGTACAAGTAATAATTTTACTTTTTTGCAGAAATTATTGTTAATATCGAGTATTGAAAAGCATTTTATCTTACTAACCTCAGAAGCAACAGTTTTGGCGGCAGAAAGCTTTGTACCACCTCCAGGTTTCATGATAGCGGCCGTTACGAACGCGAGTCAATTACGTAGTTCAGAGAAAATATGATAACGGTTTTTGTGCACAGAGTGGTAGAACAGTAGTTTAACTCTTATATTTTCATACTAAGATGTTTTGATAATAAATATTTAGATACTTCAAATGTATAAATTGCAAAGCACCCACCCTCATTCCGTGTGCACAACAGATGTTTAACGCAGTGTGCAATGTTTTCCCGCGTTTAATGCACTACCAACTGTCGGTTCCTAAAATGTGACTTTTGTAACACAATAATGACATTAATAAAGTAAAGCGTAATTTCTATAATTATCAACGTAAATAAAAGAATGAAAAAATACCTGATATTATTTACCACTTTTAGAAAAAATGTAAATGCTACTTAATTGTAACCACTGCTGTGAAATTTAAATATACAAAAGTATTTTATATATGTAGGATAGATTTAGGAACGCTTAGTTTTATAAATGTATAGATTAAGCGTTAAAAATTTAATTAAAGAATAGAAATTTAAGATTTGTTAATGAGGATATAATAATTCAAATTTATTTTTATACATAAAATATATGAAGTTTATTTTCGTTATGGGTACATACTATATCTCAAATCAGTAAGGCGCTTTGTCCTTCGTGAAGATGTGGCTTGAAGTAGATGTATACATCATTTTATACTATGCTGTCATTTATGGTAGTACTTCTGATAAGTCATATGTTAAAAATTGATTTCTATTGTGTTGACATTATTATTAATTAATGCCAAAAAGTATATATTTTTTAATTAAAGAACAATTATAGCAGATAATATTTAACCATGTCGATGGAAACAGTTCCCAAAGACTTACGAGGATTAAGAGCTTGTTTGGTGTGCTCTTTGGTTAAGGTATAATATTTTTCCGAATATTTTGTTATATTTCTTTGCAAAATTATGATCCTAAGGATTTTTATTTTATTATAGACATTTGATCAATTTGAGTTCGATGGTTGTGATAATTGTGACGAATTTTTACGTATGAAAAATAATAAAGACAATGTTTTTGACTGTACAAGCTCTAATTTTGATGGGTGAGTAAGTGAAGGAATAAAAAATAAATGATATTTTGTTTTTTAGTATAATTTTATTTGTTTGTAAATCGTGAAATTGAATTTTTGAAATCAAAATTATTTTTAGTATGATTGCTGCAATGAGTCCTGAGGATAGTTGGGTTTGCAAGTGGCAAAGAATAAGTGAGTAGTAAATTCACACCTACATGTAATAAGTTAAAATTAAGCAAGAGAAATATTGTTATTTTATTTTTGTATACTTTTACAAAATTATAACAGTTACATTATCTCATTAAATCATAATATAAGCTATTATCTTTTATTCTACATTAATGCTTCTTCAAATTCCTAACAAATTAATCGTTTTTTTTCTTCAACCATTATATTTGGCAGTGCAAATAACAATGACTTAAATCATGTTTTGTATCATGTACTTAAATGTATTGAAAGGCAGCACTTTATACAAATTTTAAAGCTGATATTTCAATACAAAAGATGCAACTAATATAAAACAATGCAATATATATATGTATATACTTATATATTGCATATAATTTAATAAGTTTCTTTGTGTCTCAGATTCTTAATATTAAATATTATTATACATTTATACAGAATTTTCACTAATATGCATGACAGTATGTATAATTAGTAAGGAACATGCTCATGTGCGTACATAAGATTCTATATTAACATATTTTAATTTTGTGTATATTTTGCATTAATTTTTTTTACATGTTATTTTTTATCTTCTTATAATTTTTCGTTTAAACTAAAATGAAGTAATGGACAAAATCTGTCGCTATTTATAAACATCCTTTGTAACAACTGAGATTCAAATTTTTTTTTCTTTCAGATCGGTTTTGCAAAGGCGTATACGCAATATCGGTATCAGGTCGATTGCCAGCAGGTGTTATAAGAGAGATGAAAAGCAGAGGAATAGTGTATAGACCACGTGATACAAGTCAACGATAATTTCTTGTAAGATCACTACAATACTATGTTATAATATTGTTTAATAGAATAATATTCTAATTTTTTGTCTCGCATTTGCACTAAGAATTTTTATAAGATTTTCATGAAAATATTATACTCGATTTGATTGATATGAACTTTTGTTCAGGTTTTAAGAATTCCCATGTAATTCCATTAACCCTTCTTTAACTATACATAAGATTTTGTAAGATTTTCTCGCGACTTTACTTTCTCCCTATTCCCAAAAAGTTACAGTATACTAATATTTTCTTCTAGTTTTCTCGACGTCTGTACAGATTTTTTAAATGGACTAATTAATAAGATTTTGAAAACGTTCGAATTTAAAGAATATATACAATTTGTGTAGAATCCATTTTTTCCCTATCATACACGTTCGAATTTTTCCTTTTAGTCGTATTACATGTTAAATATTAAAAATTGTTAATGTTTGATTTTCTAATTATTACTTAAATATAAAGTTAGTTTGTTCTGATTTCCTACAAATCTTCATGTAATAAGTTAATGTGTGTACATTAAAAATTTATGAACGTAAGTTTTTTCCCTCTTTTTCTTTTATGCAGATCAATATCAAATATGATTGTTACCTGGACATAAGTTCGAGTGAGAATAGAAAGACGGATGCCGCATCACCGGCAAATGACTGTTTACACAATTAAGCCATAGATTCGCACAAGTAACGTGATAATTATTTTCATTATACACTACCCTGCCACTAGTAATAACGGTTAAACAAAGTGAACAACAAATGGTTTCTCCTTGATGTAAAGGCCAAGCTGGTAGTTCCGTAACAATCTGAAATGTATTGTACAAAGATGTAAAAACATTGTTTACAAATTTATCTTAAGGCTTTAGGTTAATAAAATTTTATAAGATGTTAGGAAATACAGTATATTCTCCACAAGTGTCAGACCGCAAGGAAGCTATACCTGACACTCGTAGAGTCAGGGACTACGTTTTCGAGCCTCGCGCCCGCCTTTGTAGTTTGCCGAACGTAGACAAGAACAGCGAATAAAAGATAAGCATGAAACGTGAGTTGAGGCAACCAAGCGATTTAAATATCAACTTTTATAATTTTACGTTTTTTTATCCCGAAATTTTTCTTAACATATTGATGAGATTTTTCTGATGAAAATGACAGGTGCTGTCGGGCGGCCACAAGAAAATACATTTTAAGCATATACATTAAGCAGTTCATATTTGAGCTGGCAATACACAACACAACTAACTACTAAACAAAATCACCAGAAAAATTTTCAATATTATTATTGAAATAAACTTTCGTAGAACGAGAGTGCAAAATTGAAAGAATCAAAAGAAAAAACCGCGAATTCGTATCTTTTTCGATTCTAGAATATAAGAAAATTTGAATAAAATACGCGACGAGAATTGGGCAGAAGCATAAGTTAAACGC